CAACCCAAGGAACTGTCAGCCATGAAGACAAAAGGCCTACTACCCCAGCACCTCAAACAAGCAGCCCTGAACCACCTCCAGAGCAGACACCCACCTCACTTAAAGACAGCAAGGCTGCTCCCCCCTTGCCAAAACCTCCCCTTGTTCCTGCTGCAGAGACAGAGCCTCCTGATCAGGCTCCCAAGCCTGTGCCTACTGAGAAGCCCAGCACCTCTGATGCCCACACCAATAAGCCTACAATCCATGAAAGTGACACTGAAATATCCAGATCCAAGACAGCTCCTGAATTACCGGAACAAGACAGAGACATCCCAGAACCATCAACATCCAGCGTTCCCTGGAGGCAAGCACGCCCAGCAACAGCAACTCCAGCACAAGCTGATGGTACCAGGTCCACCTCCACAGACACCAAGGCAGAACACGTCACTGAACCCCAGATGAATCCCAGCTTACCCAGCACCAGCTGTCCCCCCAAGGCTGAGCCAGCACCATCATCAGGAGAAGCACCAAGACCTCCTGGAACCAGTGCCAGTGGCTGGCATCGCCTCAGGAAGCACTTGATGGTGCAGCCAGAAGCAACCAGCTTCCCAGAGTCCAAGCCAGAAAATCTGGAACAGGAGGAAGGGAATAAAGAGGATGCTGCTCAAGCAGTCATCAAACAAGACTGCATGCTGGTTAAATCGAAAGCCATGAGAATGTGGGATGCCATTTTATACCAGGTGGCACTCGGCAAGGAGAGGAAGCAGCAAGCAGAAGAGAAGAAGCCACAGAAGGAAGAAGGCTTCTTCCTTCCCCGCCGCTTACCCATCCTTCTACACAAGCCACGCTTTGATGCCCGGAAGCTGAAGGAACTGGCTGCCAAGCCCATGACCAAGATCAGCACCGTGTTCGAGGTGAGCCGCTTCCGGCCCAAAGGGGCCGAGGAGCACGCCAAGAGCTTCAACAGAACAGCATCCGGATGGTCAGTCCACTGACGCCAGGCTGCTCCACGCCTCGGAGGGGCACCAGCCTCTGACCACGCTGACTGCCCAGTGGAGCCAAGTGCAAGGAAAAAAGGAAATGAAATAAAACCCCTCCAAGCCAGCAGCCCCACATGCTGCAGGTTTAAGGGTTACTCTCCATAAATTTAAAAGCTCAAATGTGTAACTACCGCATTCACAGGTCACAGGAAAACAAACATGTTTGTTTTAGGAAGAGTCAACAACAATCACTGGAGGCAGTAACAGAGTGAAGGCAACAGGGAAGAGGACAAGCTGCCTATAGAAAAAAAAGACCAGTTTAGAATAGGATAATGGAATCTGAATTTTTTTGTTGCATTTATCTAAGAGATAGATCCTAGGAACAGCAGCAGTTGCATCTGAAATGAAAGAATCTGGGTTGCTCCACATCTCTAGGGAGCATCTTAGAAACCAAAGAGGGTACATACAGCCTCTAACTCCTCCACTGAAAGTGTGCCCCACACCCATTTGCTGAGAACAAAATGGAAACTCATCCTTTCACCCAAGGCACAGACAAGAGACAGAGTAAAAAATCCTGCTCTCACCAAGCATTTCATCTGCCTATCAAAATGGGCATCATCTGACATCCTCCTAGGCCAGTCTACTAAATAATAATGCACACAAGAATAATTTTGTTTCAATAATCAAGTTCTGTTATGTATTTTACCATGTTTTCTCCACAATAGCTGATGGTTAATGTTTCCACTATAACCAACAAGACCCTGCTTTAGCATGTGGGTATCCAACTCTGTATTTAACAAGGTGCTGGTTTCTGAGGGGTTCTGCTAACCACATGTAGTCTCATTTTCAGGGTGAACATCATGACAGTTGCACACCTGCTTGGCCCTGACATCCTGAAAAAAGGGCATTTAAAAGGAAAATCCCCAACTCTGCCCACCCACAGAGACAACAGGGCTTTCCAGTATTGCCCTTTGTGACTCCACTGCCAGCAGGCTTGTGAGCATGAAAGATTGGTTATTTCTGTTTCACAAGGGACTTGGACTTGCTGGGGTGTTCCTACACAGCTAATATAGGATTGCCATGTTTAGCCCAAACAGAATATAAAGAGCTGTGTACAGAGTTTCCTTTTACATGCACAGAGGGTATGGAACTGACCAACAGTTCCTCAGGCCAAACTGCAAACAGACTTAGAAACAAAGAGTCCCATTTGCCTTTTTTTAAGTCTTCCTATTTTCAGTGATGCTATAAGAGCTGTTCATTTAGCAAACTTTCTCTTAAGTTTTCACTTTACCAGTCTTATCTCTATTCTGTAACCCCTTCCCTAATCAAAGGGCAAAAAGCAAGTAAGGATAACCCAATTATTTAAGGTGGAGATTTCTTCAAACCCCCAGTTTTCAAAGAAAAAGGTAACAAGAGGATGGAAATCACAAGTGAATCCTAGGTAAGCCTCTGCAGGATAATTTAACATTGCTGCAAGTGAAGGCTACAGAGAAACATCCACACAGCAGCACAGCCATAAAAATGTAAAGAGTGCAGTGTAAAACATGTAAAGCAGATAAAGGCAGCCTTACCAGAGAATGATAAATGGCACCTCACTGCAGCACAGCCAGATGGATGCCTCTGCACAAAGGTCTGTATGCACAAGAGCCACAGTACTGGCATGAAGCACAGCAGCCAACATCAATCACATTTGGGAGACTAAGTGAAGGTGGTTTAAGAAGCACTTGTGCTTTAAAGCAGCTTTTGTCCTGCACTGAGGACAACCACCCAGAGCAAACCAGCAACTCTCACCCAAGGCTTAGGTTTTGCATCTGCTGGCCTTCCAGTCAGGCTGCATTCACACCCCAGCCCCACTGCACATGGAGGAAGGATGGGGAAATGCCATTGACGAAGGATAAGGAATGATGGGGAGAGCAATTCCCACAAGCAGAAGGAAGGAGACAGAGGAAGGCAGGTCTGGGTGCATGGTTTAGCCCTTTTACCCCATAAAAGGCAGAGACACACAGCAAGCATGGCAAATCCTGCAGAGACAGACCCTGACACAAGAGTACCACAGATGGGAGGACACATCCCTGTAGGCAACAGACTTCTACCAATGGCTGCTCACTGGAAGCCACTGTGAGGCGTTCCAGCCTGAGCTGCTGTGCTGAGGAAGAGAAGAGCAATGCTACAGGGCACAGAATTTGCCTATTTTTCAACACCAAATGGCATCAGGCAATTGCCAAATGCCCAAATTGACACTTGCAGAAAAACCCTTGTTCTATTGCCTGCAGTGAGGTCCTGCAGCCCAGAAAGAGCGGGAAGGAGAAAAAAAAACACACTTGTGTTTAAGCAACTAGAAAGCTGCTAAGGTGATGTAAAGCAAGTGACAGGGGTGAGCCAGAAGGGTTTGGGAGCAAGAAGGTCATGACAATGATCCAGCAGTAGGAAAAAAGGATAAATATAGTTCAAGAGGATGCAGAGGAGCTGGGGAGCAGCTCCCCAGGGAGCTCAGAGCATAGAAAACAGATAGCTAAGAACCTACATACAGAACCAAGCCAAGCTCCTTCAGCTATCATAGCAAATTTGCTATTCACAGTAGAAAAAAACCCCACTACTTCCATGTGAACAAACCCAGAGAACAACGGTGTTGTGCCATGGCTGTCTGCAGCACTGGGTGGATCCTAGGGGACATCCCATGACATTGCCTTGCCTTTCAAGAAAGGCTGCTGGACAAAGACCAGAGCCAAAGGCACTTTCATTTGAGCTGCTCAGAGAAATCCAGGTAGGGCAAACAAAACCTGCTGACAACCTAGTAAAACCTGTTTGCTGCAGAGAACTGAAGCTCAGTAGGTTCCACCTGGTGCACTGAAACAAACTTCAGGAGAAAGAGGAGACTGATCGAAGGGGAGACCTTACAATAGATTTCTCAAAGTCACAGGCAGAGAAGCAAGTTGAGGATGGAAGTTCTGTGGACTAAAAACACAGCTTCAGGCAGTCTTGGGCTTGTACTGCTGCCCATCTCAAAGCAGCATTCAAAGGGCATCTCCTGTAAATGGGCACTACAGAAGGAAAACCAAGCCTAAACAAACAAAACAATACACAACACTCAGAAGCCAGCTCCTTAAGGGTGGGAGGGAGGGGAAAGAAGGAACACAAGCCCCAGAAGAATTCAGAAACAAAAGGTGTTTTGTAGCAGGCAGAGCTATTTTAACCTTGGCAATGAAATAAAGCTTCTTTTTTATAGTAGGAAAAAAAAAGAGAATGAGCTTGTTTTCACCCTGAACTTCCTCCCCATTCACTGTGCCAGATGCTGCCCAGTTGGATCCAACCAGTTATCACCTCCCTCTACACCATTCCTCTATTGCCACAACCCTCTACTATCATCCACTCAAGATAACACCAGGATATCTATGAGCCTAAACACAGCAGGAACATGAGATCCAAAGGCCATTTCAAGAGAGCACAGAGCCAGCAACGCAGCTCTCCTTGCCCTTGCTGCACATCAGAGAACAGTCCTTTCTGCTCTGCTGGTCTACCCAGTACAGCAGATGTTCACATCCTTCCTGCTACAACCTTATTACAGACTGGTTCCAAGAGGTTACTGAAGTCATTAAAAGTTTTCTCCCTGATTAATTCAAGAAACCTGGGAATTAAACCCCAGAAACATTTGAATTTCAGAAGTAAATCGGCCCCCACCTCCAGCTATCTCTACTCCATGCAACTTAAGAGAGCATAAGGAAAGACAGCAGATAGAAACCATTCCTTTGAACTAGCAAAGGCAAACACATCTTCACCCAAACAGCAGCAGCTAAGAGACCGGCCCTGCAGATTAAACTAACAGAGGTATCCAGCAGCATCAGCAAGGCAGAGACCAAAACAAACCCCTGCTGTGTACCCACTCTGTTCCAGCCCAGACAGTCAGGCCCAGAAGCCAGGCTCCAGCTGTTCCCACAGAGCACCTTCCAGCTCACCCAAAGTGCTGCTGGCAGAAACAACCCCAGCATCCTGCCAGAACAGCCCAGGAGGCTGTTACACAGAGCAGAGCCATATCCCACCTACCTGGTTAATGAGTTCTCCAGACATACTATTGCTCTGCAGCATCGTCTATCAACACCTTCTTGTACTGGCCATGGCCCGTTGCAACAAATTTGTACTTTTTGCCAGAAGGAATGGACTGAACAGGAGAGAAAGGAAGAGCCCAAGTCAGCATTTTTCTCTGTTAAATAAGCAGTCAAAAATCAAGTAACTGATGCCAGAGGAGAACATAAGTTGTCTTTAATCCCTGAGCCCATTCTGTACTGCCTTCTTGCCCCCTTCACACAAACACTCTGCACAGATCCATCACCTCCTTCTGTAAGCATAAGGCAACACAACAGGAACAGGATATGCAACAGGGAAGTAGATGCAATGCAGGCATTGTCAGGGAGGGCTCATCTAAGAGCCCAGACCCCCAAGCCAGGGTTGTTTTTATCCATGGCAGGAGACTGTGGGATTTACCAGGTACTGGCAGCTTCAACACAGGAACTGACAAGATACTTTGACCTTCCTCTGCCAGCCTAGACAGTCTGAGCAGTAGCTGCTTGCTGCATTTTACAAGACATTCCCACACAGCCCCAGATCCATCTGCAAGTGATACTGTCTTAGGTTCAGTTCCACTTAGTTTTGCATGTTTTGTTTACCCTCAGTGCCAAAAAGCATAACAAGAGCAAAATTGCTCAAATTTGCAGCTCCATTTGAGCCTAGAAGGCTGGGACTCCCAGCCTGTGGGCTGAGAACATGCTACTCAAGAGACCTTTCAGAATTACAGGATATAGAAGTATTTTTGCCCCCATTTTCACTAGAGCTGAACCAACAGCAATCCACTGTTAGGAAGAGCTCTTCAGCATGCAATTGCATTGACAGATACAGGTAGCCCTTGTCCCTACAGAACATCTTCTCAACAGTGCCAACCCAGCCAACAGCTCTGTTCTTTGTCATCAGAGCAAGTGCTCTCACACTCACAGACACCAACTCACCTTGATATTGCTCTCAGGTTTGGGATTCCCCTTCTGTTCCCAAAGGCTTCTTTTGCTCACGATATCTCCAGCCACAATATCCTGAGAAAATGATGCTTTCATTACCCTTCACTGCTAATGCTGCTGAACGTGCCTTTGTTCACATCCATTTCCAACCCACACATCTGACCTCCTTTTTTTATTTATAATATCACATCTGACCTATAACAGCTGCTGCTAAAACCCATGACTGTGAAAATGTCTTCCTGTTCCCAGTATACCCTATGTTTTCCTATAACTCTTCCACAAGAGTCTGAACTAGCTCCAAGATGTTTGTTTTCTTAACTTTGTTAACTATTTAGGACATGTAAACATCAAGGCTTCTCTACCAAAAGGAATTCTGCTCTCATAAACAGACTTGCAACCAACATATTACAGAACCAGCCTCACCCACAACAACCAGAAAGTGAAATCCCTGAGAGCAATACGTAATGCTCTCTGCATTTTCCAAGTTTACAAGATTTATCACCTTGGTACTAGATGTAACTTCACGCTTGACAGCTGGAGCTCAGCCCTAGCCCCTGCAGGAGACACATGCATTCCCCACACCAGCTGATTTTATTCCCATTTCAAATCAGAGCTTCTTTTTGTTCCCATTTCAAATCAGAGCTTCAACCAGCAACACAGAGATTTTCTGGCATGTACCACCAAGGAACAATTGGGGACCCTGTCAGAAAAATTGACTCTCCAGGGTGCAAAGCCTTACAACATGATGGAAGATCTCTAATATCGATGCCTTTGGAGCCTGTAGGCCCCACAAACAAGATGTACCAACAGGACAAACAAGGACAATGCATGCTGTGCCCAGGGATCAGTCCCTGCCTCTGGCACAAGCAAGGCAAGTGCTCCAAGGGCAGTACCTTACAGGTTGAGGGCTTCACAGCAGACTGGGCTGTGACCTCCCCAGTCTCCCAGAGGCTTTTTGTGCTGGCTACCATCATGCTCGTGGTGGGAAGGTCAAGAGAGGGCTGCCGGACAGGTTTTGCAGCCTTTGTGGAGGTCTGGAAAACAAATGGAGACAGTTTGCCACCAGAGTGTGCCTCTTGATTTTTTCTAACCCTGGAAGAACCTTGGAGATAAGGGGGTGTAAAAGGAGATTTGTACAGTCCTACTAGTTCCTGTCAGATACTCCCACACTAAGCAGAGAACACGAGAAAACAAGCATGGGACAGCCAAAGAAACCTACTTCATCTATAGAGGGACACACAGACAGGAGCAAGGAGTGCTCCCATCCAAGAGAGGACAATTTAGTTGTCACCCCACAGATGGTAAGGCTGAGAGGCACAGTGCAGGAACAACACCAGCAAAGAGGGCTCCTGGCAGGGTGGGGCAGACACAGCACAGCAACCCACCTCAATAGCCTGTGTGTACTGCTCCAGCCTGTCATCAATCTTCGACACAGGGAGAGGAGGCTGACTCTTCTTTATGCTGTTGCTGCAGAACAGAGAGGAGCATTAAGGGGTTCCCCCAGTGCCTCGGGCAGAAGGGAGGACTCTGTGAGCCACAGGCAGCCTGTCACTCCTGCCCTTCCCCACAGCAGGACCTGCTGACCACCTCCCTCTGCAGCAAGTGACCTGCTTTACCCTGAGGCCAGCCCAGAAATACCTTTTCTGTATTGAGCGGTTCAGCGACTCGGTTCTGTCCGTGATCTAAAGCGGAGAAAAGACAAAGATATGACTTTTGTCCAGGGACCTCAGATGGACGCAGGTCACCTTAGCTGGCCATTTCTTGGCCCTCATCTCTCACCCATATTTTGGTTAGAAGTAACTCACTCAGCCCCCATGTTGCCCTATAGATCAGTGACAGTGAGCATTCTCCTTCCCCCTTTCCAAGCAGGGGAAGAGAATCCCAGCCAATTTCAGGGGCAAACCAACAATGTGTAAAATCGCTGACAGCTGAAACACCAACCAAGACCATTTTTTCTACTCCCTCTGGTGAAGGAGAAGGTCTCTCTCAGACCTTTGGTTTCCTAGCCAGACACAAAAAGGGAAATGGCAAGTACAGAAAGACAAGGAGAAAACTAAAGACCACATCTGCAGAAGAGAAGTCAAGCACAGGAACAGTACAGGCATGGGTTAGGTCAACTTGTCCACACCAGAAAAGCACACAGACAGGGCAAATCAGCACATAAAGCCACCTGTGAGGCAGCTCTTCATGTCAAGCCATCAGGAAAAAGAGCTTTGCACCAGAGGCTCCTGTGCAATAACTCTTTGGCCAAGACAGGAAGGCAAGCAAACACTTCACAACCACTGCAGGAAAGGAAAGCTGAAATGTTGCTAAACCTTGTGACTCTTTCATGCCCCAGAAAACAAGCATACAGAGAGAGAGAAAAATCACCTTGAAGCCAAAAAGGGGGCTTTCTTAACACCAGCTCCCACAGAGTCAAGGAGCAGCAACCAAGTAAAAAGGAGCCTTCTCCCCCTGTAAAACTGCTGCCTGTTGCCACAGGAAACATCACCTACCAAGTTAGCAGATAAAAAACAACACTAAATGATCCTTTAAGATGCTTTCAGGATGCCAGTGCTAAATTTCAGCTAAACAGAAGACAAGACAGTGTCACATAGAGGACACATTTACCAGCTGTGCCCAAGAGCACGAGGCCCATTAGAGAACAACCAAATAGTGCAACCCTGGCTAACAGAGATGACCTGGGGAGAGCCACTCTGCAGGGCCCCTGAAGCAGCACAAGAGAAGCCAGCTCTGTCTGCAGGGCAGGCTGGCTGCCTGCTGTCAGCTCGCTGCTGCCTGCCTCTGAGCTGTGACTTCAGACACTTCACCTGCTCTCTGATGGGCAGGCTATACCTGGCAGGGCACAGCACCAACCTGAAAGGGGAATCTGGTACAGCCTTGCCCCAGCTCCCCAAACACAAGTACATGTCAATAGGAAAAAGCCAACCCTGCCAGGGAGATGGTGCGCAGGTGCAAACCATACACAGGCACTTCTGAAAGGTCATGAACAAGCATCAGGTTAAACACAGAGGGGCCCAGAAAAGCTGTAAGTGACAATGCATCTCAGTATGACAGCCTAGGTAGGAACAAGCTTTCACTGTGCTATTTAAAGACCACCTCCCCCCACCCCTGGCATTTCCTTGCAGTGAGAATTGTGCATCTCCCTAGTCCCAAGCACTTTCTGAAGGCCAGAAGAAGCCACAGCTGCTCATTCAGCCAGCCTCAAAGCTCAGGGCTCACAAGCAGCCTGTGACAAAACAGGACTGGTGCAAAACTTCCCCTTTGCCTCCATTCCCCCTGTTTCAGCCCCCAGGCCACAATGGCCCCCTAAATCCCAAACACCCCAACATCAGCCTGCCCCAGGTAGGTGCTTTGGCCTTTCTGCTCCAAGCAGGGATTCTGCTGAGCTTCCTGTGCCAAAACACCTTCTTGGTGGCCAGTGTGCTTAGTTTTGAGTGCTCACAGAGCCCTACCAGCTGGGGTGTAAAGATCATCTTAGCTGGGGTGTAAAGATCATCCTTCCAAGCACAGATTTTTCCTGGACAGTTTTACATCCAGCTTGGCATGTGGGTGAGCTCTGACATCACCATTACAAAACAGACACTGCATCTCTAAACCTTTCCCTGGGCGAATCCTAGCAGCAGCAGTTCAGCTGAGGTTGAGAAGCTATGTGTGTTTTGGGGTTTTAAGGACAGAAGGTTCTGCACATACAAGCTGCTGAAAGCATTTTTTACATTTTCCAACCAGCCCCACTTCAGGAATATGCTTTGGCTACCCCCACCACTTTTCAAACCTGGCATTTGCACCCAGCCTGCATCCACACCTACTCTGTCTCCCCTCTTTTAATTTGGCTATAAAATGGATCCTCCACTAAGAGCAAGAATCTGATGGCTGTAGATGATGAAACCTTCCTCTTGCCATCTATTGACTGATGCAAAAGAAAGTACTTATACAATCATTCCCACTCAGGAAATATTGAGTAAGCTGAAAATAGCACAAAGCTAAACTCAAAAAAAAACCCAAAAAACCTCCAAAGATTGTGCAGCCTTTTAATCTGCTATTAGAACTGACTCCTCACCATCTCCCTCACTGCTGCAATCAAAAAGGTTGGTGCTTACAAAGGCAGAAAAAACCATTCAGTACAGAAACACTTATCTGTATCTATTGTATTCAAAAGCACACACACAGAAGTGAGGGTTTGTAGTAAATGCAACACAAGTCATAAGATGCAATTCAGGTGGTGTTAATAATGGGAGTTTCACAAGAGCACCAATGCAAACAGATGTGGTTGGGAAGGACACAGTGCTTCAGAGATCAGAAATCCCCATTTGTTTAAACAACTTCAGTCACACATTTTGTTCTAATTAGGAGAGAAATGCCACTGTTGCAGTTATTGGGGTTTTTTCCCTTTGGAAGGGAAATTTCATTAAGTTCTTGTGAGTTTTGTTAAAGACTGCAGAAGTTGAAAGCACAGCTATCTCAGTATCACAATATTCCCTGGAGCCCTCAAGGAGCTTGAGGCTTTTAGAGTGACTGCTACAGCCTCCAACAGCTCAAGCAGGCAAAGTAGGAGGAGAGGAGGCTGACAGCCATGAAAGATGAGGCAAATTGCTCAGGTTTGTCCCAGCCTGTAGCTGGAGGGATAATGGGATTCACACCCCACATTGCTGTAAACCTGGATAATCCTTCCCCATCACTAGCTGGGACCTCTGTTGTGACAGTTGTCATGCATCCAGCAGGGCCCAGGAACACAAACCTTTGTGGAGCACACTGCAGTGTGGTCAGAGCACAGCTCCTCCTCTTCCAGGCTGGCAACGCTTGGGGCCTTCTGGCGTTTCTCTGGTGTTTCTTCTTTCTCTCCATCATTTCGCCTTCTCTTCTTTTCCTGAGTGCAGAAAAAGAACAAGCCAGGAAGTGAGTTGGTCAAACTGCTTATTATGCAACAACAGTGATTTTTTTCCCATCCCTCAGGCTTCCTACTTTACACTAAATAAACACAAAAGCACAGAAAATTTGAGTTAACATTATCTAATTTGGAAGCATTCAGGAAGAAGCTCATATGTCATTTGGAAGGGAGGGCAGAAATCAGAAATTTTGCAGGCTCAAGATTCCCAAATGGTATGAAAAGGGGTCCTTGCATCAGTTATAAAGATCTCTTACCACAACTGAGATAGGAAAACAATAATTCCTCATTTAAAGGCCAAAAGGAGAGAGAGAAGCTGCCTTTAGAATAAATGGTTGGAAAGGGTAACAGTTCAAATGCAAAAATCTTGCTAGCCACAGACAGTCAAAGTCCATTTATAACAAATGATATTTGAAGCTCAGCCCCCTGACCTGCACACCACTTGAATTCCAGCTTTGTCTCTCTCCCCCCCTCCCCTTAGCCAGGAATTATCAGAACAAAAAAAACCTCAGCTGGGAGCAATGCAATGCTAAGTACAATCAAGACAAAGTACTCCAATGGTGTGATAAAGGCTGGGGAGAGGAAAACAAGCAGTATCATTTAGATTTGAGCTCTCCTGTAAAGCTACTCACTGCCCACAAAGCCACAGGAGAAATAACACTTTCCTCCTCAGCAGGACAGGGACACGGCAAAGCCACCACAAACTCTGAGAGCAAGCACACCCCCCTCACAAAAGGGCAGAGGCTGCCTGCAGTGACCCCAAGAAAGCACAGCAGGCAGGCAGGAGGGGCACCAGCCCCAGGTTATGCCATGAAAGCACATCTGATGTGTCTGCATGGGCTCAGCTTCCAGCAGCAATGCTGAGCCAGGACACAGGGGAGCAGCCCCCAGCATCAGCTCTCCCACCAGCCCTCTGGGAAGGTCAGCTCCTCCTAATCCCACCTCTTGCTCAGCTTGTGCCTCTTCCTCCTGCTCTTGAACCTCTTCTTCCTCCTGACACAGCCTCTCTTCCTCTCTGATAACCATGTTCTCCTCTGGGCTTTCCTGATCCAGCTGGATCTGCTCCAGTTTGACTTCGGCTTCTCTCACACCACTGTCCTCTTCCTCATAGGACTGCCTTGGAGACCTACAGATGGGGGAAGGGATCAAAGAATAAAAGCACAGTTATGAGCCTACAGACACCATGAGGTACCTCACACCTCTAGAACTCCACTTTTATCACTTCCCCAAACCTGCAGCATGCTGGGTACTCCACACCAGGGCTCACAGCCAGTTCCAGGCACCTGGATGCAACAGCATCACAGCTCACTCCCCCCACTTTAAGTGCCCAAGACTCAGCTCAGCTAAGAACTGTGGGAGAGCTGAAGGGACCTGCACATTACCAGCATCATGATGGGCAAAACCCATAGGAAAGCACAGAAGAGCCCTCTGTTCAAACCCCTGGCAGACAGGGCACTGCTACCATGATGTGGTGCTGGCTCAATTCCCTGCCTGGCTACAGCTGAAATTCCAGGTGCACCAGCACATCCTGCAGTCAAACACCAATCTGATGCTGTCCCCGTGGTTCCCAGCACTAATTCAGTGTGAGGCACCAAACACAGCCCTTCTCTGCCTGAACTCATCTTCCACGTCAACAGACTCTCTTGCTGCAGGAGAGCACAACCAACACCACATGAGCATGCTTCTCAAGCTGAAGCTGAACTCTAGGGCAAGGCAGCAGAGCCACTCCCCTGGAATCATTCCATGGGCAAGGCACAGTGCTTCACAGGCCATGCTGTATTAGCACTCGGTCCCAAGCCTCAGTTTTGGCCACTGGAAAAAATTACACCTCTACTCACATCACTCATCTCATATCCCAGCAAAACAAAGGAGCTCCAAAGCAGATGGGGTCATCCCCTGGCTTAGGGGTTTAAAAGCCACAATGGGTTTGGTACAAGAGAATTGCTCTGGGTCTCCAAGGCTGCAAGAGGAGACCCAGGAGTAAGTTTATGCAATCAGCTTTGCAAGAGCAGGGCAGCCCATGCCTTTGGGAGTACAGAGCCCCAGAACTCTCACTGGCTCCCAGCCATGCACCAAGCTGCTATTGCCATCTTAGCTCTTTTGGCTGGGGAGAGTTTCTCCTCCCACCCAGTTCTTAGAAAATCTGGCTTGAGAGAGCAGGGCTAGAGAGCTGGCTAGCAGGCAGCTGCCAAAGGGCAAGGCTGACTCACTGCTCCTCCCTCAGCAGGCAGCACCAAGACACAAAAACAAGTTCCAACAAGACCTTTCCACCCACCTCTCTGCTGCTGGGAAGGCAGCTCACAGGTCAGCCACCATCCAGCCCTCCACAGTGACTACATGGGGAAAAAGATGATGCATGTGCTGGCTCACTTGGCTTGTTTCTCATCATCCTCTCACCAAGAGCAAACAGGCCCTGAAGGCCCAGCAGCTCTCCACCAGGATGGCAGCAATGTCTCCAGCTCAAGTACAAGCTCATATCAAAAATTAAGGCCAGCAAACACAGTGCAGTCTATAGGATGCCTTTCACACCACAGCCATGCTGTATGGGAGGCAGCTAGCTGGCACAGCTTCACATCCTTGCACAGCTGATGGCATGGATCTCCTACCTCATAGAGGAGAGCCAGGACCAAAAAGACCAGGAACAAAGCACCAAGGCCCTCAGGGGATGCAGGACCTGGTTTAGTTGCATCCAGCAGAGAGCAGCTGTCTCCATCCACTCTTTCACAGCCACCACCTAAAACCCAGGATTTGCCTCATCTTTAGCTAAACAGGAGAGAAGGGAGTTGGGAAAGTCTGACCACGGTACTGCTTGTCCCAGCACAGGCAGACACACAACCTACCTGTGCTCACACCACGCTCCAAGCTCACCCCTTGGACGAGGCAGGTCCCCAGGGAGAAAGCTGCCACAAGGACCTTACAGACCCTGGTGTGAGGACAAGCCAGCCTTTGCAGAAAAGCTCACCCACAGAGTCTAAACTCCCCCAGCTGCCTCCCCCAACCAGCCTTCCCCTTCAGCTCCTGCTTTTAAAGTACCACCTCCCACTGATGGGCTTCACCTGCCATGAACACCACCCGCCCTGCTCAGCACCCTCCCCTCCTGCTACAGGACAAACACATAAAAACCCAACAAGAAATGCCTGCAGAGGATAATGTTCATTCCAACTAATTCCCTTTGGAGGCCAAAGAGGGAAAAGCAGTAGCCTTTCTTTCCAGAAAAGCTCTTTGCAAGGGGGGCTGGGAAAAGAGCAGCAAACCAAAAAGCAGATGATTTCTAATTGCTCCCACAGATGTTATAATTACATTGTGCTGGGCCTTAGAGGTGCTTGAGAAGTGCTTGTGGGATCAGGGCTGCAAAGGTACAGTTTGCAACGTGGTTTAGCCACAAGGTCTGGAGAAAAGTAACAAAACTTTGAGCTCATTTTTATTTATTCAGCAGTAAATATTAATCTTAAGCACTTTTTCAGTCACAGAATAGTTTGGGTTGGAAAGGACCTTTAAAGGTCATCTAGTCCAATCCCTCTGAAATAAGCAGGAACCTTTTCAATTAGATCAGGTTTCTCAGAGCCCTGTCCAACCTGACCTTGAATGTTTCCAGGGAAGGGGCATCCACCACCTCTCTGTGCAAAGAATTCTTCAGGGTAAAGCAGAGGCTATGGCAAAAATTCCCTACAAAATGAAGCTGCCAAGAGAGCTGAGTCACAGAGTTCGTGTGCAGGTAGATAGAATCCAAGGGAAGTGGTTCAGGCAGGAGTTTGGTTTAGTTCTGTAAGGGAGGAGTGATGGGAGGGCTCTCAGGGCTCTTTGCTGCCTGTTTTTCCCTGCTCAAAGAGGAGTCAGGCACAAGGTGGGTTGGGGCCATAACACCCACTATGCTGACATGAGCCAGGAAGCAGCAATAACTTAGAACAGCTTTTTAGGCTGGCCTGGATTATGTTAGAGACCATTTCAGCCCCTGCAGCAGCTCAGGTGGCTTAAATCTGCTGTTGTCACTCCTCCAAACCCAGGAGTCCTGGCAGGCTGCCACTGCTTGGAGCACAGAGCTCAATCCAAACATCCCCAAAGCTTGGGGCCATCCCTGGGCCATTCCCCCCTGCTAGCCCAAATGGCAGGCAGAGAGCAGCTGTCCCAGTGGTGTGGAGCCTGCTCTGTCCTGCTGATGCTCCAGACTTGACCTGGCTTTGGTCACCCCTCCTCAGGGACAGTCCTTTTGCTGGGGTACCCCTCCCCTTGGTTCATCTGTGTCCTACCCACCTCTGCTTGCGCTGCTCGAGCTTCTGGGACCAGTCACTGAACCCCTCATCTTCCTCCAGCTCCGAAGTCCCAGATGGCTTAAAGTCATAGCTGAAACACAGCAAGAAGGAAAATTAGCATGAGAGGCATGCAGAAAAATGCCTAAACCTGGCCTGAAAGAGCCACAGCCTGACACAGTTCTTCTCCTTTCAGTTACTCCATTTATTCTTCTCTGAGTGAGCTGTACTGCTGAAGATAGCCATGGCAAAATCATTCCAGCATTTGTGGCCCTGGCCACAAATGTGTGCTCAGGCTAACAGAAAAGCTCCCAGGGAGCAAGGGAGACTGGCTGAATGCTGACAGAAGACTGGCTGCTTCCCTGTGTCCCTCTGCAAACCCAGCCCCAGGAGAAGCACAAAGCCAGCACAGCCCCATCATCACCACTTCAGCTGATGTCCATCCCTCTGGCTCCCAAGAACACTCCTGTCTTTTTCCTGCAAACCCTCTGTCCTCCTGACTGTTTCTGGCTTTCTTTAGTGGGGGTAAGGCAGAACAGGAGGTAAACTCTGTCCCTTTGGAGCAAGGAAATGCAAGGGTGAGTTTGAACTAAGGGGAGTGACATGGATAGGACGAGTCCCAGCGTGGGAAGAGCCACAGGAAGGAGGGGGCAGGATTTACACAAGAGAGAATGAAGCTTTTCAGAAGATTAATAGCCAGGGCTGACCCTGGCTGCATGAGCAAGCCCAGGTGGCTGTCAGCAGCTGTAAACAAAACCAGGGAATGGCCGGAGAAGAAGAAACATCCTTGTGGTTGAGCCTGGCCCAGCAAGCTTTGGCATCATGGAGCAGGGAGCAAAACCCTACATTTTAGGACTTGTTCTTGTCCTTGTCCTCTGAATTGGGCAATGCCAATGGTGCTGTGGGGCAAGCAGCACAGGTGTGCCCATGGCAAGAGGACTGGAGCCTGCAGCCTGGGTTACTGGGGCTGCTGCACACTCCCTGGGCCTGAGGCTGCTCACAGCACCAACCAGGAAGAAGGAGACCAGAGATCTCATCTGCTGTTTTAAAGACCTTTTCAAATTATTTCCCAGTCCCCACGTGAAGGGGGGGGTTGGAAAAGCTAATAACTATTATTACTTTCGAGACCTTCTGTTTGCTTTTAGAGCAGACTGCAGCAGTTTTGTCTGCACAATATCACCGTGTGAATTTCCACAAAAGATTGTGAAGGAGTTTTGCAATGCTTTTCTATTAAAAAAAAAAAAATCCTAAATAATTTTGGAAGTATCATGAGGGAAGAAAATCTTTTAATGGAAAAAAAATAGGTTTTCATAAATAACTTTTGCTTTTTTCCCAGTAAAATGAAGATGTTGCTTCTCTGTGACTATAACTCCAAATCCTGCCACCACTTTTCCATGGTGTTCAATAAATTTAGAAATACGTTGAACACATAAATAGTGGTAAGACTGAAGACTTTGAGACAAGAATTTGGCAATTCAGAGTGCAGACTAGTTTTTGTGCTAGCCCCAGTGCTGCACAGCATCTGGACTGCTGAACCATGGACATGGGAGGCTGCAGCAGGATGTGGTGTGGGATGCTGGGGATGTCATCCTATCCCTTCTCCAGGTGTTTCCTCTTTGACAGCAGAGAGCCCAGCATCTCCAAAAATGCCTCCTGAGATATTTCCATCTAGGACTTGCCCCATTAAAGCACAAAGTTAATTTTAACCCTTGGAGCTGTGAACTGCACCAGCTCAGGTGCTGCTTCATGCTATCCAGTGCCAGGGCAGCATCCTCTGAAGGAGGAATGGGAAGCCCAGCCAGGATAGGTGATTGCTTGCACTGTGATCTGCTTGGGATTGTGCATCACCTCCTCAGGCACATCTGTCTTTGCATGTATCAGGAAACTCCATTACTTTCGCTGTAGGATGACTCCCAGGTTGAAATTTAACCAAGCACTGATATCACTGGCAATGGGGACTCCCTACCAGAGCCCAGCCTGCCCCAAGCTGTCCCAGAGTAAACTCTCAGGCAGTAAAACCCCCAGCCTCCAGCCAAGAAAATAGTCAAAACAGGACTTGTGGGGTTTTCTGCCCAAAGAAGAAAGCACACTATTTGCTAATGTGCAGCCCAAACCTATTAGAGAACTTCCCCATCTTCCCCAATCCACCCCGAACGCCAGGGACACACACTCAGTGGCTGCAGGAGGGGTTTGCTGCAAGGAAAACGTGCTGCTGCAGGATTTATGCACTGGTTTTCTTACTGGTTTTCCTGTGGCAGAGCAGCACTCTCTGAGCAGGGGACGGTGCCATTCAGGCCCTCTTCTGCCTGGGACCGCAGCTGCTTCTCCCGCTCCCGCCGCCGCCGCTCTCTCGCCGCCTCCTCCTCATCTTCCACGCTCCACTGCGCTGTCAGCCTGCCAAGCCAGAGGGAAAACCCATCTTTAATGCCATCAGGCAGTCCTGTGAAAGCTGGTAACAACCCTCTGAGGTGTCTGGGCTGCCCCCGGCAAGCAGGAGCCTTCTGCAGAGGAGAGCTCCCAGCACGAGCGGTGATCCTCCAAGTGGCATCCTCACCTCCATCAGCACAGCTCCGCAGCGGGACTGACTGATGGGCAAGGACAGGGTGGGACACAGGGACTGGGAGAGGGGTGCAGGAGAGCCTGCAAGTCTCTAGAAGGAAGATGTGGTACATATCCTCTTCCCACCTGCCTGTGGGCTGAAGCCCACTGGAAAGCACCATTCCCTGCAAAAACAGCCTTGCACTCCCACTTTGGAAGGTTTTGTAAATAGTCTTGCAATGCTGCAAGGCGTCTGAAGGGTTTGTAAAGGGTCTTGCAGTGCTGCCAGATATCCAACACCTTCATGTCAAGCTTTGGCCCACAGAAGGCAAGATCTGTACCCTGGGGATGGGTTTCCTTAGGCAGTTGAGCTGCTCCTGCCTGACCAGAAGCCAAGGAAACAGCAGTGGATGGCAGCACCTATGTCCTGCCCTGCTCTGCCCTGCCTGGCTTCCTGTCAACCCTGTGGAGAAGAAAAACCTGCCCTGACTTCTCCCAGACATCTCAACTGCTGCACAATAATGCCTCTGTCAGCAGAACAGCCTCCTGCATCCCCAAGGAAGTGATAAGGCGGATGCCACATTCCTTCTCCGATGATAACGCCAGTCCAGGTTCTCCCCACGTGGGATCAGCTCCTGCTCCACTGGCAGCACCAGCTGAGATTCAGGCAGACAGGGACATGCCATGGGGTGACCACCACTCATCCAAAGGGCCTCTGATGGCAGCTGGAGCTGGGCAGGTCTGATTTGGGGTACACAAGGCTGATGCTGTGGCAGATGCCTCCTCACCCCTGGCTCAGCCAGGTGCAAAGCAGACACTAAAGCTGTTTTCCCTGGCATTTTCAAGCCCATTTACAGAAAGGTCTTTCAGGAAGGCACACACACATGGGAGCTGGGAAGTCGATCTCCCAGAGCAGCAGGACCCAGACCAACGTGCACTTCTACACCTCAGGCACACCCCGAGGACCACGGTCCTCTTAGGATGAACCTGCTCAATGGGAGATACAACATTATTCAGATTGGAACAAAGAGCCTGTGGAAGGGAAAATGGGGAAAAAACCCAAACAGAAATGCCTTAGTTGAGATGTGTTTCAGCCCAGTTTGAGTGAATGAGGGACAGGTTTCAGCTGGCCCCAGGAGTGCCACTCTGCAGCCTGCCCAGCTTTGCCCTCACATCAGAGGGCCTCACTTCACCATGGGTCTCACCAAAAAGCTGATTTCTTTTGAAGTTCAGGGCAGATACCTCCCTATCCCAGCAATGGGAGGGGAAAAAAGCCCATTGGGATTAATTCATGAAAAATGTAGCCTTACACTGTGAACCTTGTTAGCCTTTCTAAGGAAGACTGACTCAGAGCCTATTTTAGACTCGCTCAGAGCCTCTTTTACTCTGCAGTGCGAGCAGGATTGTTGAGCTTAGCCCCAGTAGCAAGGGGATGCACAGTAGCTTGGCACTGTGCATCCCCTTGCACAGTGGTCCCACCACCACCCTGTCAGGAAGCTGGGGATGACTCCAAATCACTGCCCTCCCAAACTCCCACCTGCCCCAAGGCAGCAAAGCCAGGTTGTGAGCCCAGTGAAGAAAGGTTGCCCACGCCTGCTGTGCCCACAGAGGAGCAGGGAACAAAGCAGACCCCAGGACTAGCCCGAGAGAATGCTCCACTGCAGTGTAGTTACTGCCTGCCTTATTTTGGGTGGGGTCTTTCTGCAAGCACCAAATTCAGCTCTTTCCCTTTTTACCCCATCATCGCCCCTTGCCACCTTGGTCTCCATGAGGAACAAAGCAGACCCAGACCCGAGCCTGAGCTCCCCTCCTCCCTTCCCTACTCATCCCACACTCCTATTTATTATTTTTCCTCAGGTTCCCATAGAAACCCTTGTCTGTGGACCTGGCAGGAAGCCACCATGTTGTTGTTGGGTTTTTTTTTTAATATATAAATGAAGTCATTCATTAAACTCTGCCATGATCTCCCTCCCTTGTGCGACAGCTCCAGATAGTCTCCAATTCGGAAAGGCTCTTAACCCCCTCTCGCCCATATTGCCCCAGTTATGAGAAGCAAAGTCCACGTTCATGCCAGAAAGTTAGATTTTGATTAAAATCTTTCACTCCTTCCTCCAGTTCCTTGGGAAGCTGCTGCAGAGGCGGTGCTCCACCAACACCCCCAGCTTGGCCAGGGTGCTCTGGAGGGGGGGGTCCCTTCTGAACCACATGAGCTTTCCACACTGTGAGAGCAGCACTGGTTGGCAGCCCTCTCCCTTTCCCAGTTGGATGTGACTAACTCTCTCCCCATGACCTCACCGGCTCGCTATTCTGTCCCTGCATCCTTCGAGCAGGCTGAGGACAGAGCCGGGGGCGACCGTTCTGGGGAGAAGGTTTTCTCTGCAAAAGCAGAGAAATAACTTTCCCAGCTCCCCTTGCCACAGAGCAATCCAGATTTGTCACAGAGCAATCCCAGCTTCCAGGTTTCCTGCTGCTGTGTTGGGATGTATCTCAGACACTTCTGAGCATCCTGGGGTGGGGGGCTGCAATGGGAACACCATGCCTCTGCTCAGCAAAAAGGGCTGCAGATAAAGCCCCCACAGATTCAAAGATACCAGCACACTCCAGCAAACACCTAAACTGAATTTATTTTCAGATTCTGAGCTCTCTGTCATGCTCAAATAGGCTGGTAGGGGAGGGAGGTTTAATAAGTGATGCGTTGGGGTTCAGTAATCACACTGACAAGCAGAGGAAAAAGGATGATTACTTTTGGACTGACCGAGCAGCACAAATATTTGTCTTTAGTGAAAAACAAACAAAATAAAATGAAGCAAAAAAATACAAGCAAATGAGAAACTAAGCCTTGCCAAAGTCCTTGTGTTTGGGTCAGCTACAGGCGTTTGTTGGACCCCAGACAAAATGTGCCATTTCAATTTGGACAAGCACAAGTGTGAGCAGGGGGTCAGCTGTTAAATTGCCTTTCGAAGCAAAAAGGTGGAAAGATTTAATTTCCAAATGGTTCCATTTACTAAAACGGGGCCATGGTCGCCCGTTTGCTCTAATTGTTCACAACCACATTCAGTAACTCAACGTGCTCAGCCCACAGTGGCATTTCACAACCATCTTTCCCAATCCTAGAAATAATTACCCAGCACTTCAGGATCAGGCTGATCCCACGTATCTTCATCTCCAGCCAGCACTGTGCCAGGTTGGTCCCAGGCTGGGGAGGTTTGGGAAAGAAGCAGGCTCACAGCTGCCAGTGGGACCAAGAGTTCTCAACTTCATTTCACTCATCACAGGATGGGGAAATGGAAAACAAGACTTGAAGCTTGAGGAGCTGCAAGATGAGCTACAGCATTCTACACTCCTGAATCCAGCCACCTGCATTTATAAAATCCCTCCATAGAGGAATTTTCATGAAATGTGAAAGGAAAATCACCCCCTTAAACAGACTTTAGTGTGACTGGAGAAGGGAGGAGAAAAGGTGGAGAGATCTCATTGGTCCCAGCAGCCCAGAGCTCTGGCAAAATTTGCTCCAGCAAGAGCTCGTCACAGGGCTGGGTCATTCTCTCACATGGTCCCTACATCTCTGCCAACAGCTTTTGGATGTCTTGGTTGGGCCAAACATGCTTTGTGGAATGGGCTTCTCTCTTCCTGAGCACATCCTGCAGGTGTGAGAATGAGCTGAAAGCCCCCTGGTTCAGCTGTGCCCACAGAGACCCTGCCTGCCAAGCATTTGGGATGCTTAGGTTTCTTCTCTGAGCGGGGCCAGCTGCCTGTTTCAGATCCAGCTCTTGACCTCACCTCCCTCCGGACCCCCAGCCACGGGAGGGGCTTGATTTCTGTTTGCACTACAGAACACCTCTTCCTGCAGCACGGCACTACAGGCACCCACACTCTGGCTGCCCTGTTCCACGTGGCCACAAATGCTCCAGACAAGCCAGCATGGCTGGGAAGGTCACGTTTCCTTTGGGCAATTCCTCACTGGCACTTGAGGAGATTTTAATATTCAGGCAAGGGAAATTTCTGGCAGCAGATGAGCTGTGTTTAAGGGAAACTGCAGACTCGAGGAGTCTTTTGCATGGTTGACGGCTCAAAGGAAGCTTTGCTGGCCCAAACCCAACCTTCAGCACTAAAGTTAATTCCAGAAAGGAAAATCAAATGCCTCCCAGAGGCTTTGGGCTTCGCAGACCTGCGCCAGAAAAACTCAGGAACCCTCTACCAACACACTGGACATTCCTGTCTCCTGAGCTCACCGGGGTACCAGGCCAGGAGTGTGCTGGCTTTGGTTGCCGCCTCTGTTGGGTAGGTTGCCCCCACAAAGCCAGGGCACAAGAAGAAAGACATTTTGGGAACAGGATTTAGGAGAAGCCATGTGCAACCCCAGAAGATAGATTACCCCATCACCTGTGAAAAACCCAGGGTCCACCACAGCTGGAAATATCCCCTGGGAGCCATGGGGCTGCATGAATTAGAGAAGAACTGGGAAGGACAGCCATCCTATCTCCCCTCTGCTGAGGTTTAGGGGAAGGGAGATGCCAGAAACCAACGCAAGGGAGTTTCCCCTTCCATGCAATCCACTGCAGCCTGCATTGCCCTGTCACAGTGCCAGGTAACAGTGTGCAGAATATGGCCTAGGATCATCAACAAGCTCATCTGCTGCCGAGCAGAGCTGCCAGGTTTTATTTCATATTGCATTTATCACACATCTACAAAGGGCCCTGACTGCTGGCAGGAGATGTGCAGCTCACCCTGTCACACGAAAGGGAAGAGGACACCCTCCGAAGGCTACAACTCCCTCTCCCACTTGACCTTCTGCCAACAAATTAATCACTTATTAGTGGCATATAATGGCTCTGTGTGACTGAGTCAAGCATGCT